GGGGGACCTCGTTTCGGGAACCGCTCCTCTGCGCCCTGGCTTTTGCCGCCCGCCGCGCGAATCAAAAAAAATATCCCGGAAGGACGGGCGGCGGCAAGAAACTTTAACGCCGCGCGCGCCGCTTTTCCATCAGCGGCCCTCTGGGGGGTCGCCCGCCCTCCGCCCCGGCGTCTCCGGCGGTCCCTGTTTCCTCTCCCCGCGCCGCCCTGCCGCCGGAAAGTTCGGAGGGCGCACACCACCACCCCAGCCTCTCGTGCCACACCGCCTCTTGCGGGTTGGAAACGCGCCGGGTATACCCACAGCGGCCCACGCCCAAGCACCCAAACAGGACCGCAAGTTTGAAAACAAAACCCCTTCTCAACTCCCCCCGGACAAAAAACAACAGGGGGGGGGGAAAGACAAAAACAATCATACATATAAATGCAAATATAAAAATATGCCCGCCACTTCTGTGGTCGCACGCGCCTCGCTGCGGGCAACGCGTCCGACATCGACAAAAAACTAAACTTCGTTGCTCCGCGGCCTTGCCAAGCGCCCCGCTACCGCGTGTAGATGTAAAACCCTTCTCCAGTTTTGCGGCCAAGTTTTCCTTGCGCAAACTTCTCGTCAAGGAGCTTCGAAGGTGTGAACAAGGGGTTTTCTGGCTCCTCCTTGTGCCACGCGTCCGCAATAAACTTGAGCACGTCGATTCCGACGCTGTCGGCCAACGCAAAAGGTCCCATCGGATGTCCGCAGCCGAGCTTCATCGCCAAATCAACGTCTTCAACACTCGCAACGCCCCGTTCCACCAGCCTGCAGGCCTCCAATTGATATGGTACAAGCAGACGGTTGACAATAAACCCTTTCGTGTCCACCGCCAACACCGGCTGCTTATTCAGCAACTTCACATACTCCAAGAGCTGATCGACAGTCCCCTGCGAGGTCTTAGCCGCCCGCACAACCTCCACCAACTTCATCATGGGAACAGGGGAGAAGAAGTGAAGCCCGGCAAAACGATCAGGGCGGCTTGTGGCTGCAGCCTGCTCTCCCACAGATAGCGACGAGGTATTCGTGCAAAAGACACACTCCTTTGGGGCCATGCCATCAATTTTTTTCCACAACTTTTTCTTCGCGTCAATCTTCTCCACGATGGCTTCCACGATTAAACCCGCGTTCGACGCCGCCAGCCGCTCGTCCGTCGTGAAGGTTATTCGTGAAACGACCTCCTCCACAAACGCCTTCCCTTTTTGCTCGTCACCGGGGTGTTGCTTCTTCCCAACCCGCGCCAAAGAGCCCTCGATGGACTTGCGCGCAACCCCCAATCGATCATGCGACACATCCACAACGGTGACTGGAACGCCAGCGTGCGCGGTAACCTGGGCAATGCCACTGCCCATCGTTCCACCGCCCCAGACAGCAACGGAATTGAAAAACTTTCGGGGTGTGTGGCGAAACATAACACCTTGGAACAACTCAATGCAGTGCCAACAGCAGTCTTAACAGAAAGCTAAAAAAAACACACACATTGAAAAACAAAAACAAAACAAAAAAAAGACACAGAGACACAGACAAACACACAAGAGGAGCAAGAATAATCGTAACACAAAGCAGATAAACTACAGAAATCCATCACATACTGAATACAAACAGAGACAGTGCAGTAAAACCAGTTCCACTCTCGCAACAAACACTTTATCCTTGCCGGTTAAAATACCCGCAAGGAAACCATGACAATCTCACCACAGCTAATAGAAAGCAAAAGCAAAAACAACTACAAGAGTTAAAAACAAAAATTCACCTAAAGCTCCTCCACCAATACGTTCGATACATTCCTGCGCGACACGGCCACCACCACGGCCACGCAGGCAACGAGGATCGCGCCAACGGCAAAGCAGGCAATCGCAATGCCGGCGGTCGCACCTGCGCTCACTCTCTTCTCGCTCGCTCCCTGGCCCCCGACGGCACTCCGTTCCATGCAGGACGCGGAGCTGCACACGCACTGCACTGCGACCGGATCCAGCGTGTGTCCGGAGCCGCACGCAAATGCAGGGCACGCCAACCGGTAGTCCCGGCAGTGTTTGTTGGGGGTCGCGCCCGCCTGCGCCGGGCAGCTTAGCAAGTCCCTGTAATGATCGCTGAGGTAGCACAGGCCCTCGGGGGACGTCGGCTTGCTCGACTCCACGAAACGCTGTAGGTCGTAGTAGGGACAGGTGTTGTCTTTGGCCACGTAAACCCTGCCGTCGCTCCCCATGCACCTCAGTTTGAACCCATCCAAGCTGAAGGCGTAATTCGTAGCGGGGCGTCTGTCCAGGAGAGCCCCGCACCACCCGCACGCT